CGCCTTCGGCACCTTCGGACCTCCGAAGATTTCGGAGTTTTGCTCCACGTCTGGAGTTACCTCGGACCTCTTATGTTTCCCTTCGAGCATTACTCCCGACAACATTCGGACTTTATGCAGACCATGCGGACGCTTGACAGCAGCGCTGTACTACCTCCGCGACAGCAGATGGTTATCGGTAGCATGATCAGGATCCGAAGATTGCGGGAGTTGTTTATATACTGAGCAGTTCGCATCCTAGTCCCCCATCTCGACCTCTTGGTCATTGGGACTAGGTGCGCATTCACTTTGTAGTAGATAGCATGCTTTATTGACTTGGTCATTGGGACTAGTGCTTTCGTGCTCACCGCCGGCACTCGTTGAGATCCTCCATCACCTAGCCTTGTGGTTTCGGCCACTTGTACGCCTACGCTTCTACGCTCCTACGCTCCGCTCCGTTCCGCCTACCTCCGACCCCTCCGAAGTTTCGGAGCTGTTTAGGAGTTTAGAGTACCGCCCCTGTTGTGTCCACAACATTAGGTCGAGATCTCACATAGGCACCAGCCTAACCTGAGGCTCCTGCCTACCTACGCACACGCACCACGACGCCTCCGACGTTCTCCGCGGGCTACGAGTCGGAAGACTCTTCGCACGACTCCTCACACGAGGTATACCACGATCCCTTTGAAGGGCTTGACGACGACCTCGCCGGGTTTGCTACACCCCACGCAGGAAGAGTTGGACGCCCACTGCAACCGCTCTCCGCCGAGTTCACGCAATCGTTTGCCAACACCTCACGCCGCTCCGACTCGGAGGTACTAACTCCGAACCCCGAAACCACCTCCGACGCACCCTCCGAGTTCTCCGAAGTTCCTGTAGCTTCCGTAGCTCCCGTACCAACCCCCAACACCTCCACAAACATGGAGGATTTAATGCGCGCACTTGCACGATCCCAGCTGGATCTCCAAGCTTCGGTGGTCCAGTTAACCAACCAAATGGGTCAGATAACCGCTCCCTCCGTCTCCATAACTACGGACCAAGGTCCGCAGCGCCCGGAGCCCTTCGAAGGTGACCGAAGCGATTCCCGACGCTTCCTCGCTGCCTTCGAGCTGTGGGCGCGCAAGAAGAAAGCTCCGCTGAACCACCCGACCACCGGAGCTGCACAGGAGAACGAGTGGATTGACGCTGCCCTCGCCCTCATTCGGGGCAAGGCCAAGACCTGGGCGCAGAGGTATATCCTCGAGTCCAACTCTCACCACGCTGATCCTGTGAAGTATCCGGATGCCCCCTTCGAAGGCAAGTGGGCCAATTTTGTCAAGGCCTTCAAACTTCGCTGGATTGCCCTCGATGAAACCGCGGAGGCCCGGAACGCCCTCCAGAACTTCAGGCAGGGTGATCTCTCTACAGGGGATTATGCCGCTCGGTTCCAGGAGCTTGCCGCGCTCTCCGGATGGTCCGACGCGGACCTCCAGAGCCGCTTCGAGAGTGGACTTCGGTCTCGTCTCAAGGAGGACCTGACGTACACGGAGGTGCTTGGAACTCGAAGCGCTTCGCTTGCAGAGTCCATCGAACGCGCACTCAAGTTCCAGAGCATGTACGACCAACTCCGCCAGGATCGCCAGGTCTCCGGAACTCCCCGGAACTACTACTCCGCACCACGTCCGACTCCTTCGCGTGCTCCGGTCGATCCGAACGCCATGGAGATCGACGGAGTCCGCATCGCTGCCGTTCGCGCCCCCGCAGCCCAAACTTCGGGAGTGCGGACTCGGGAGGAGTTTCTGCGGAGGATGCAGGGACGCTGCTTCGGATGCGGTTCAAGCGACCACATCAAGCGGAATGGAGGGCACGACCGCGAGCAGTGCTCCCACTGCCAGCGTCGGGGCCATCGCCAGGACGTGTGCGAAGACAAGTTCCTGGGTCGTCCTCCTCGTCAACGGATTGCAACTGCCAGGGTGGAAGGCCCCTTCTCCCTCTTTGACGATGACGCATTCAGCTCCACCTCTGCTTCAGTGCCTGCTCCGTCCTCCGCTCCACCTTCGGCGTCCTCCGAAGTTTCGGGAAGTACGGGAATTGCATCAGCTTCCATCGAGGAGCTTCAGGCGCTCCTCCAGGACCAGCGGGACCTGATCCGGCGCTATGAGGCTGCTGGGCAGGGTTTTTAAAAGGGGTGCCGAAGCGCGCTGCAGCGTCCGCACCCCCGAAGGTTTCTCCATGCTTCCCAGTCTCGGCTTATGATAACCAGCACGCATGTACTATACGAACGGTGAATGTCATTAACCCAAATGCATCTCACTTCCGCGTGCCCGTCCATCTACAAGCCCGAGAACGGAACATAGAGACAGCAGCAATGGTGGATTCCGGTGCCTCCGGACTTTTTGTAGATCGTTCGTTCACGGAACGGAACCAGCTTCGGCTCGCTCCGCTTCGACATCCAATCCTGGTACGCAATATCGACGGTTCTTCGAACAAGTCTGGGTCCATCACGCATTTTGTTCGACTTAAACTCACAGTGGACGCGAATGAAGTGTGGACGGACTTCCTGGTCACCAATCTAGGTGGTGAAGAGGTTATCCTGGGTCTCCCCTGGCTTTGTGAGACGAACCCACGCATTGATTGGGCTCGGGGGCTCCTTTCGATGTGTTGGGCTCCTCCTCCAGGCTCCGAAGTTGCTCCGCTCTCCTCCGATCCGGACTCCGAAACTTCGGAGTCTCCGTACAAGCGCGTACAAGCTAACCGTAAACTACGACGTGCTTGGGTACGGGCCGGAATTCTGGAGGATCAGCGGGATGAGCTGTGGTGTGCCGCGGGGTTCACATACTCGCAACAGCTCGCGGAAGCCGCAGCTAAGGGCAAAACCCAGAAGACCCTCGAGGAGATGGTCCCTCCGCAGTATCGGGAGCACCTGAAGGTCTTCTCGGAGGAGGAGTCGGAACGACTTCCGGCGCACCAACCGTGGGACCACGCTATCGAACTTCGACCCGGAGCTCCGGAGACCCTCCGAACCAAGGTGTACCCAATGTCGCCAAACGAACAGGAGGAACTCGGACGGTTCGTTGACGACTCCATGCGCAAGGGGTACATCCGACAGTCGAAGTCCCCATTGGCCTCTCCCGTCTTTTTTATTAAGAAGAAGGATGGGAAACTCCGGTTGGTTCAGGACTACCGAAGGTTGAACGAATTTACAGTGAAGAACCGGTACCCACTTCCGCTGGTTTCGGACATAGTGAACCAGCTTAGTCGGGCGCGGTACTTTACAAAGTTTGATGTTCGGTGGGGCTACAACAACGTTCGGATCAAGGAGGGAGACGAATGGAAGGCGGCCTTTGCCACAAATCGAGGGCTCTTTGAACCCCTGGTCATGTTCTTTGGGCTCACGAACTCGCCGGCCACATTCCAGTCGCTCATGAACTCCATCTTCTCGGATCTCATCGCCGAAGGCAAGGTAGCCGTCTACTTAGACGACATTCTCATCTTCAGCATGGAACTTTCAGAGCATCGGGAGGTGGTCTCCGAAGTCCTCCGAAGATTGGAGAAGTACGACTTATACCTTCGCCCTGAGAAATGCGAGTTCGAACGGGAGGAGATTGAGTACCTCGGGCTGGTGATTCGGAAGGGAGAGGTGCGGATGGATCCCGTTAAGGTCGATGCAGTCAAGTCCTGGCCAACTCCGAGAAACCTCCGTGAACTCCGAGGTTTCGTAGGATTTGCGAACTTTTACCGAAGGTTCATCAAGGACTTTGCAGGTATTTCACGACCGCTGCATGACCTGACCAAGAAAGATCGGAAGTGGGAGTGGGGTCCGGAGCAAGCGAAGGCCTTCGAAGGACTCCGAAGCTCCTTCGTAGCTGCTCCAGTCCTCGCGCTGTGGCAGCCAGACCGCCCAACTCGTCTGGAAGTCGACGCGTCGGGATCCGCGACAGGCGGAGTTCTGCTCCAGTTACTTTCGGACGGTTTGTGGCATCCCGTGGCATTCCGCTCCGCTTCGCTCCAACCCGCGGAACGGAACTACGAGATCTACGACAGGGAGATGCTGGCCATCATCGAGGCACTGAAGGACTGGCGTCACTTCCTGGAGGGAAGTCCGGAGCCCTTCGAGATTATTACGGACCACGCAAACTTGCAGTACTGGTGGACGGCGCAGGACCTATCTCGAAGGCAAGCCCGGTGGGCACAGTGGCTCTCGCGCTTCGACTTCAAGCTCACATACCGACCGGGAAGGGTGCATACTCAGGCGGACGCGCTGTCGCGACTCCCTCAGCACTTTGTCGCCGACAGCGAGGACAACCGACAGCGCGTCGTCTTGGGCCCCAAATACTTCGGGAAGATCGCTGCAACGGAGTTGCGCTCGGAGTTAGCGGAGAAGATCCGAAGTTCGAGCGAACGAGAAGCGGAGGTGCTGGAGGGATTGGCACGACTGCGGAAGGGTGGACCAAAGAGGTTGGCAGAGGGTGCGGTCAAATGGGAGGAGCGAGAGGGGTTGGTGTACTACCGAGGGAGGTTGTACGTTCCGCCGGTTCCGGAACTTCGGAGGGAGGTACTACGGATGTGCCACGATGCTCCGACGGTCGGACATCCTGGAATTCACGGGACCGTGGGAGGTATTGCAGCAACGG